CATGAGACGGGAGATGGCTCAGCAGCTTGGTGGCATATCCATGCAAAAGCAGCGGGAAATCGCTGAGCCCACAAGATTGCCCTCTGACCTCCACACACACACACCCTCACACACCCTGCTACACACACACCCCCTGTACATGCATATGATAACAGGCTAGAGAGTAACCAAGGCCTAGTGAGTAAACACGCTTGTTGCCGACCGACAACCTGAGTCTGAGCCCTGGGACCCACACGGAGGAGAGAGCCGATGGCTACAAGTTGTCTTCTGACCTTCACGCTCGCACACATACACATGCGAAACAACTCAATGTAAAAAACACAATTACAAGAGCACTTTTAGGGCTGGAGAGATGGCTCAGAGGTTAAGAGCACCGGCTGCTCTTCCAGAGGACCCGGGTTCAGTTCCCAGCACCCACATGGTGGCTCACAACTGTCTGTTACTCCAGTTCCAGGGTATTTGATATCATCACCAATGTACATAAAATTAAAAAAATTATTTAAAACAAACACTTTTAAATAATAAAAGGTGGGCTGGAGAGATGGCTCAGTGGTTAAGATCTCTGGCTGCTCTTCTAGAAAACCCGGACTTGATTCCCAGTAACCACGTGGCAGCTCACAACTGTTTGTAACTCTAATTACAAGGGGCTGATACACTCTTCTGGCTCCTTGGGAACAGGTATGCATGTGGTACTTAGACATATGTACACACACAAAATACCCATGAATATAAAAATAAAAATAAATCTAAAAAGGAAAAAAAGGCAAAGAACCCAGGGCAAGGGCCTGCTATAGACAGAGGCACAAAGGGCAGTCGGGGGATGAGATCTCAGACTGCCCGAGTCCAGACCTGAGCCCTGCTCACTTACTCTCTGCCTAAACTTCCCCATTTGTAAAAAGAGGAGTGCCAGGCATGGCGGCACACACCATTAAATCTCAACACTTGGGAGGCGGAGACAGGCTGATCTCTGTGAGTTCGAGGCTAGCCTGGGCTACACAGTGAGCTTTAGGACAGTCAGGACTACATAGACCCACCCCTACCCCACCCCCCAAAAAAGAGGAAGAAAAGAAAAAAAAAAGGATGCCAAGAGCATCAGCTGCATATAGTTCTGGGTTTGTGTGGTTTAATATTTGTTAAGAGCTTAGAATGGAGCCTGGAATGGTACTGTCCTACAAATACTTTAAATGTGGGTAAAACAGTTGGCAAAGGGTAACTGAAACTGTTAGTTCAGATTGTAGGGGTTTTTTGTTGTTTTTAGGGGTCTCCGTGTGCAAGCCAGGGTAGCCTCAGACTCTCCAATAATGGGATTGCAGGTGTGCACCACCACACCCAGTTTGAGACCATTGACTGCTGTGGTTGTCCCATTTAGAGGTGCGCAGAGTCCTAGTTCCTGTGTGGACAGGCGCAGGTCATAACCCTGTAAGGCAAGGTGTCATGCTGAGTGGGATTGACTTCAGTCCCTTATCGGCTTTCTCTGTTCAGCACCTTCTATGTGGAAATGTCCATGTGTTCTTGGTGTTCTCAGATCTCTGCATGGCTGAGCTGGGCCAGCTCTGGCCCAGATGGAAGGCAACTTTCAGAATCTTCCTGGGGCTGGAGAGCCCCTCCAACTTTCCTGTAATTATTTCTCAGCCCAGAGGATCTGGTTTTACTGAAAGATAATGAGCCTTAACCAGCACCTGGAAATTCAGGTTGGGGCTCTCTGTCATACCTAGGATGTCACTTCTCCAAGAGTGAGGCCGAGCCACCACTGAGAAGTGCCTTGAGCAGTTAAACGCCTTGCACCACGTTATTACCAAGCCATTTTCACTCGGTAGCCACCACCCCTGGCAAGTCCAGTCATGCTCCTGCAGTTTGACTGCCTGGATTGGTGCTGGCTGGGGAAAGGAGAGCCAGTGCCTGATCTCTGCGTGTGACAAGCCCCCAGATATGACCCATCCCCCCATTACTTGTGCTGTGGGTTGGGAGAGTTTCTTTAAAAGCATCTTTAAAGGTTCCTAATTTGGACTTTAAAAGTGGTATCTGGGAACTAGGGAACTGGGAACTAGGCTCGGTCAGTTAAGTGCTTGCTGAGCCCATGAAAAAAGTCTCACAAGGTGGGGGACTTGTAATCTCAGTATGGGGAGTTGGAGACCCCAGATGGAGTCCTGGCGCTCGCTGGCCAGCCAGCCTGGCTTGCTTGTTTGTCTTAGTCTTACAAAACAGGGTGGGCAGCATCTGAAGAACCATACCAAGGCTGACTGCATAGACAGACACACAGACACAGACACAGACACAGACACAGACACAGACACAGACACACACACACACACACACACACACACACACCTACCTATACATACTTATTCCTCTCATAATAAAGAAGAGTTTAAGTTCACATAGATTCTTCTGCAATTTTTATCATTTGGCTCCAAAGTATGTATGTTAAAAAAGCATATTTTGCCACTGGGATTGATGGTGGTACCTGTACCCTTCTCACCACTGAAACAAGACATTCATGTCTATTTTCTCTGGCAAGCATAGGGCTTTTGGCTTCAGACATGTTTACCAGGGCGACCTCTGGTGGAAGAAATGAACACTGCAGGACAGGCAGAAAACCCAGGTCCAGAGCAGAGAATGTCGAGGTATCTAGCTTTGTAAAATGGGCACAGGAATGGGAATTTTCATAAGAGAATGCTGAGATGAAATGGGAATTCCATGGTGAGGAGTGATGGGCACTTGTTAGAAAAGGTGGAAAGTAAGCTAATTCCTGAGTTTAATTGTGAACTGTCTTTTTCAACCTCTATCCGCGAGGTCTTCTATTACATTTCTCTCTGTGTGGACGCATGAGTGTCCATGGTATGCCTGCGGAGGTCTGAGGACAGCTCACAGAGGTCAGTTCTCTTCTGTGACTGAGCTCTTTCTCTCTGGGGGTTTCTAGCAATTGCTCTCGGGTTGTCAGGTTTGGCTGTAAGCACCTTCCCTGTGGAGCCATCTTGGTGACCCTTGTTTTTCCTTTTTTGAGGCAGGGTTTCATGCAGCCTCGAATTTGCTGTTTAGCCAAGAATGACTTGAAGCATCTGATGCACCTGTTCCCACCTAGTGCTAGGATTGGAGGCATGCACTACACTACTTATTTGGTTTTTCTTTTTTAAGAAACAGTTTCACTGTGTAGCTCACTTGACCTCAAACCTATTGTGATCCTCCTGCCTCAGCTTTCTGAGTGCTGGGATGAAAGGTGTGTGCCACCACCACCCAGCTTCTGTGTTCTTTTAAAGATTTACTTATTTGTATTTTGTATGCATGCAAGTGTACCATGTTCATGTAGTGCCTGCAAAGGCCAGAAGAGGGGGTCAGATTTGCTGGACCTGGAGTTACTGAGTGTTGTGAGCCACTATAACGGGGCCAGAACTGAACCTGGGGCTTCTGGAGAAGTTTTGAGGCAGGATCTCCTGTCTCTGCAGACTTGGCTGTGAACTGTAGGCTAGCGGGCTAGTAACACACCTGAAAGCATTCTACTGCAATTCTCCATTTGGTGTAGGAGTCCTGGGCTTACAGATGCTCATCACCACTCTGTGTCACATCCTGCTCTGTGCCTGGGTTCTGGGGGGTCTGACCTCTGGGCATCAGGCTGAACTGTAGGCACTTTGACCTGATGAGACATCCCCCCCTCGTGGTCTGTTTTCATACTGAACCACTTCTTTTGATTTCACTCTGAAAATGAACGGTTACTTTATAGACAAGATTCTATTTTCACTGACAGTTAGATGAGGAAAAAGAAACCAGCCTCCAAAGATCAGTTGCCCTCGATTGGGAAGATCTTAATGATGATGATGAGGCCCCCTGGGTATGGGTTGCTCATTGTCAGCTTGTGGTTTGTTGAGCTGGTGCATGCTCCGTATGATTTGGTGGGTGGATCACTCCAAGAAGCAATGTCTGTATCTGTGATCTAGCTGTCCAGTGTCTTAATTGCTGTGATCTCTGTCCTACAGTGAAGTTTGAAGGGTGCACTGGTCGGCCGAGGACAGCCTACTTTTCCGAGGACTCCCGATTCAAAGTGGCTACGGATGGTGTCATCACGCTCAGTCGGCCTCTAAAGCTTCATAAGCTGGAAACCAGTTTTCTTGTCCACGCCTGGGACTCTACTCACAGGAAGCTTTCCACCAGAGTGATTCTGAAGTCCGTGGGCCACCACCAACACCGGCACCACCACCATGTAGGTTGGGGTATTCCTTGGATGTGTGTGTGTGTGGATAGTTTTCAGATTGTTGTTTGATCTGGGTCCCCTCGCCTTGGCACTGGGGACTTGTTGGGCAAGATAATTTTGTGGGAAGACTCTGTAGGATGCTAAGTGGCATCCTTGATGCCAGGAATACCCGTCAGTTATGACAGCTAAAACTGTCTCCAGAAACTGCCCGTGACTCTTGGGGGTGGGGGTGGGAGTGGCAAAAGTGTCCCCAGTTGAGGACAGTCTTTCTGACTGAATTCATTCTCGTGGGGGTTTGGGGGTTGCTGTTGGGTTATGGGGATCTGTAGTGTAGGATAAGGAGGAAGACATGGACCCTGCCTGGGACTGTTAACCTACCATTGCTCTCTCTAACCTCTGACCCCAGTAACCAGAGAGGAATCATTTAACCTGTGTGGGCTGAGTGAATTCACACACAAAACACTAAGAACGTATGTACACACTTGATATCCACAAGGAGTCCCCTCTTCCTTTGTGGATATCAAACTCTGGATGCTCAGGTCCCTTCTATAAAGGGGTGTAGATAGCCACACACACAGCCAGAACATCCTCTGGTTAGTGTACTTCTACGTGACAGTTGTTACACTCTTCTTATTTAGAGATACTGATTAGGGGGAATCTGCTTATTTAGAGGTAGGTGTCTTGCTATAAAATGGCCCAGGCTGGCTTCAAACCCAGTCCTCCTGCCTCAGCTTCTTAACATGGGATTACAGGCGTGTACTGACATGTTTGATATGAGTTTCTTTCTTTCTTTTTCTCTGTCTCTTTTAGATAGGATCCCTTGTAGCCCATGCTAGCCTCAAACTCGCTCTAACTTTTCATCTCCCACAGGATAGGATTACAGGCTTATGCTACCACACCTGGTTTTGTGAGGTTCTAGGGATTAAATACGGACTTCATGCATGCTAGTCAAATATTCTGCCACCTGAGCTACCTCCCCAGCTCTACATACCTTAAAAAAAAAAATCTTTTAAAAGCCAAGCAGTGGTGATGCACGTCTTTAATCCCAGTACTTGGGAGGCAAAGGCAGGCAGATCTCTGTGAGTTTGGGGCCAGCTTGGTCCTACTAGCTCTAGGATAGTCAGTCAGGGATACACAGAGAAATCCTGTCTTAAAAAACTAAAAAAAAAAAACAAAACAAAACAAAAAAACCTTTAAAAAATCTCTTTCTGATCCCCTTTTTGTTCTATTTGAAATATGGCTCTGAAATAAACAAATAAGAGAAAGATGGCTTTGTGTAGCTGAGGTTGTCCCCAAACTTGGTATGTAGCCCAGGGTGACCTGAAACTCCCTGCCTCTGCCTCCCATGTGTGGTAAAGAGGCATGCCCCACCGTATCTGCCTTTGAAAAGAAATCGTTTCTATCTGTACTTGGCTGAGCACAAATGTGAACCTAGCTGTGGAGGGAGGGCTGGGTGAGTTCGATTCTCATCCAACACTAGCTGTTGGCATAGCCTTCCTGGAGGCAAAATGAATAAGGAGAGGTGCTGGGGAAGACCAGTGGGAAGTCTTTGTCCCCCTGTACAGCTGGAGAGGCAGCCAGCAGTTAAGGACGTTCACTGCTCTTGCAGAGGACGTGGGTTTGATTCCCAACACCCACATCAGGTACGCCAGAGCACAGCAACTCCAGTTGCAGGAGATACAGGACCCTTTTCTGACCTCCACACGGTGCACGTAGATTCATGCAAATCTATACATAAATAATAAACAAGGCTAAGCAGTGGTGGCACAGGCCTTTAATCCCAGCACTTAGGAGGCAGAGGCAGGCGGATCTTTGAGTTCGAGGCCGGCCTGGTCTACTGAGTGAGTTCCAGGACAGGCTCCAAAGCTACACAGAGAAACTCTGTCTTGGTGGGAAAAAAAAATGTAAACAAGCCAACAGTGTTAAGTCTTCTGTCCACTGTCACGTGCATCAGATTCTTCCCCATGGTGTTTGCGGTGTCTGCTGTGAGGTCTGGCTCAGTCCAGAAAACCAGCAAACATTGGAGAGGCTGATACACAGACTGACTGTGTGTTGTCTAGATTCTAGTCATGAATGTCCCTGGAGATTGTTACCAAAAGCCAAATGCCTTTGCCCATCTTGAAAATGCTCTCTTGGTATTTCCTATCGTGTCTCTCCAGGGGACATTCTAGCCATATCCTGCTTCCTGCCTCAGAAGTGTGGATTGTGCCCTATCCATGGCATGCCAAAGCCTTTAAGGCTGATCCCTGTTCTGTTCTCTGAAGACTCTTGAGATTCACGGAATTTAATAACCCCTGATCTTGTTTTTCCTCTCTGATGCAATTAGAGAAGTAAAGAACTTCGTTCAATTACATTAGCCATGGCTTCCTGACTCAAGCCCTCCGCCGGCCAGCCATGCATGCAGTTCAGCACAGGATGTCCCTCCCTGCCAGCAGTTGACTGTGGGAGCCTTCTAGGACCAAGACCAGCTTGGGACTTGTTTTTTCTACACGCACACACGCTCACACACACTTTCGCCTCTACTGACTTTACTCTGTCTCCATTTCTGCAGTATCAGGATTTGATTCAAGTGTGCATTACAGAAACCCCCAAGCGGGTGGGGTGGTAGTGTCTGCCTTTGTGTTTTTTGTTTGCTTGTTTGCTTGCTTGCTTTTTGTTTTGTTTTGTTTTGTTTTGAGACAGGTTTTCTTTGTGTGATGGCCCTAGCTGTCCTGGAACTCGCTTTGTAGACCAGACCAAGCTGGCCTCGAATTCACAGAGACTTGACTGCCTCTGCCTCCTGAGTGCTGGCACTAAAGGAGTGCGCCACCACCTGGCATCTCCTTATCTTTCTGTTTTGCTATCCTTGGCACACGATGCCCCCAACCCAAGACTTTTAGCCTAAACTGAACTTAAGCTTGTGGTCCTCCTGCCTCAGCCTCCCAAATGCTGAGATTACAAGTGTGCACCGCAGTGAGCACGTGGCTTTGTTTCTTATTGTTTACTATTTTAGACAGGGTCTCATTATATAGCCCACGGTGGGCTTGAACTCCTGATTCTCCTGCTTTAGTCTTTCAAGTGTTGGGATTATAGGAATGTACCACTAGTACCACATGTGGCTTGATTCATACAGGTGTGTACCACTGTTCATGCATAGCAATTGCTCTGCCCACTGAGCCATCCAGTCAGTTATCGTCTCAGAGCCCAATTGCATCTTCTTAGTTCTGGCTACCTCATGGTCCAAGTTAGCTGCTGGAAGGCCAGTTATCCCATCTTCACTGGGGATGGGGAGATAGGCGACATGGAGGTGTATGAGGTGGAGTCCCACTGTTTAACTCTGCCTGTCCTCAAAACTTGCTATGTAGACCAGGCTAGCCTTGAACTCAGATCTGCTTGTCTCTGCCTCCCAAAGGCTGGAATTAAAGGAGTCTGTGCAATACAATGGCTGGAGAAAAAGATTTCTTACATAGCTTAATTGTCTGTCTACCTTTTAAGTGACTTAACAATATGAATTTTATGGAATTCTCAAGCACTAATCCACTAAGCCACATCTAGCTGTTAAGTGTAGCCTTTTAAACAAAAAAGAAAAAAGTGGTGTTAGTGTGCATGTGTGTGGAGGCCAGAGGTCAATGTTAATTTTTGTCACGAATCTTCCTCACTCTCTTTTTTTTTTTTTTTGAGATAAGGTCATACTTCGAAGCCCTGGCTGGCCTCGAATTCACAGTGATCCACCTGCCTCTGCCTCCCAAGTGTTGGGATTAAAGGGTGTGCCACCATACCCCGTATCCACCATATTTTTTGAGACTGGGTCTTTTGGTAAATCTGGACTTTGCTGATGGAGCTGACTGGATGGTGGTGAGCCGCAGGGATCTCCTTGTCACTGTCCCAGTGCTGGCCTTACAGGTGTGTACCACCGTTCATGCATAGCAATTGCTCTGCCCACTGAGCCATCCAGTCAGTTATCGCCTCAGAGCCCTAATGCATCTTCTTAGTTCTGTATATTCCTGGACACAAAACTGAGGTATATGTTAGAGAAAAAGAGAGGTAAAAAAAATTCTTTTAAAGATTTGTTTGTTTTTATTGTATATGCATGGCTGTTTTTCCTGCATCTATATGTGCATACCACATGTGTGCCTGGTACCTGTGGAGGCTGGAAAAGGGTATGGGATCCCCTGGAACTGAAGTTTCCGATGGTTTTAAGTTTCTGTATGAGTGCTGGGAATTGAACCCATATCCTCTGCAAGAGTAGCAAGTGCTCTTAACTGTTGAGGCTCTTAACCATTGAGCCATCTCTCTAGCCCCTAAGTTTTGAATTTAATAAGGAAGGAAGAATCTGGGTGTAAGGGTAACCCCAACACTTAGGAGGCTGAGACAGGGATTTGCATGACTTTGAGGCCAGCCAGGACTAAATACTGCAAGACCCTGTCTCACAAACAAAGACCCAGCATGCCGCCTCAATCTGTAATCCCAGCATTTAGAAATCTAAAACAGATTTGCTCTAAGTTTGAGGACAGCCTGAGCTACATAGTGAATTCTAGACCAGCCTGGGCTACAGAATAAAACTCTGTCTCAAAAAAGCAAAACTAAGCCGGGCAGTGGTGGCGCACACCTTTAATCCCAGCACTCGGGAGGCAGAGGCAGGTGGATCTCTGTGAGTTCGAGGACAGCCTGGTCTACAGAGCGAGTTCCCAGATAGCCAGGGCTACACAGAGAAACCCTCTCTCAAAAAAACCAAATAAGCAAACCCAGGTGAGCAAAAAACAAACAAACAAACAAACAAACAAACAAAAAAACAAAAACAGAGTACAAAGAGAAAATGGAAGAATGTCTTTGAATGGTTGCACAAAACTTGTAATCTCAGGCTGAGGCAGGAGGTTTGTGAGTTCCAGGTGAACCTCAGTCACCAAACACAAGACCTTGTGTCACACACACACACACAACACATTTTGAAGTGAAGGCTTAGAAGATACAGCACTTGCTTTGTAAGCAAAAGGACAACCTAAGGGTCAATTCCCAAAACCCACACAGTGGCCGGAAGAAGGAGTGTGGGTCTGTAGATCCAGGACAGTGACACGGGCCAGCTAGCCTGGTGTGCAGTGACAAACAGCTAGAGACTGAGGTTGTCCCCTGGTCACACACCCCTGCTGTGATAATCATACATGCAAGCACACACATCTAACTTTCTAGTTCTTCCCCTTTGTCTGGTTAGGCTTTCTGAGGGAGGGTCGTGCTCAGGGAGTTCAGGCCTGGTTCCTTTTGCTCTCACACGGGGAAGTTCATGTTACGCTACGCACCATTTATTACCGTCTCTTTCAATACCCTGCAGCTTGGCAAGGCAGGGCCTTTGTTTTCCTTCTCAATATTGCCATTGGGTTTGTGTTCATTTACCCGTGTCCAGTTATTCACCGTGGCTGGGTCAGATGGGCACTTGAAGGCTTAGGGTGCACTGTTGATGGATGGTTTCTTGTATTCTTCCTGCACTGGAGTTAATTCCCCCCCAAATAGTATGTCAGTGTTTTCCAACCATCGTCATCTTCGTTTCCGGAGCACCTGCCGTGTTTCAGGCAATATTCTAGATACTTTATTACATGTAAACAAGTATCGTTTAGTCCTCCCAAGCACTCTAGGACATTGGTACCAATATCGTAATCTCAATTTTTGCCAGATGTGGTATCACACACCTCTAATACCACACTTGGAAAGTAGAGACAGGTGGATTTCTATGAGTTAGAGGCCAGCAAGGACTTCACTGTGAGGCAGGCCCTATCTCAACAAAACAAAACAAAACAAAACAAAACAAAACAAAACAAAACAAAACAAATCCCCACTTTAGACTGGGACAGTTCACCCAGAAGTTATGTGATCCCCTCTGGAGGAAGATGGGGAACTAAACTGAGAATTAAAAGCTAGGCAGCCAGTCCCAGAGCCAGCCCTTAGCCCATGCAGGCTTTCTTCTGTAGGTGACAGATGCAGAGTGTGGCAGGTGTGTGTGTTTATCTGTGTGGCAGGAATGTGGGGCTGTGTTCTAGAACACCTGGTCACATTTTATGTCTGTCTTTAATGTTTTGAATCTTAGAAAGGAAAACAAAAAACAAAACTAGGAGGGCTGCAGATGTGAAAATGTAGCTTCAGTTGGCAGAGTTCTTGCCTAGCATGCATGAGGCCCTGGCTTCTATTCGCCACCATCACACAAACAGCATGGTGGTACCTGCCGGCATCCTTTGGTAGGTGGAGGAAGAAGGAATTGAAGTTCAAGATCATCCTTGACTACACAATTTGAAGCCAGACTAGGGTTCATGAGACTGTTTCTAAAAATGTCCAAACCAAACAATAAGCAAGAAAACAGGAAATAGGGCTTGATTAGAACTTGGCAGGCTGTGATCTGTGTTGGTAAGTGAATCTCCCTGTGAAGGGAGAGGGTGAAAACTTATAGAACTTTGTTACCACGAATCATTCTAAACACTTAAACAATTTAGGAGGCATTTTCCTTTCATCTTCAGCTCTCTTTTTTCCCTGAGTGTGCATAACATTATCTTTATTGCACATTGGAACTGTTCAATATGAGACTCCAGGTTATTTTTGTTTCCCATCCCAGCAGCTTCTGTTAGAACAAATGGAACCCTTATAGATAGGAAACAAAAAGACTAACACATTTGTATCGATCTCAAAGTAGTTCTTAGTAGCAATTCCCCAAACTTAAACAAGATTGACAATTCCACTTTAGAGAACTATATCCCTAGGAAAACAAAAGAAAGGAAGCCCAGAACTCCCAAACATCTAGTTACTGGAATCACCTCTGATATTATCAGAGTATAATGTTTTTTTTTTTTTTTTTTTTTTTTTTTTTTTTTTTTTTTTTTTTTTCTGTGTAACAGCCCTGGCTATCCTGGAACTCACTTGATAGCCCAGGCTGGCCTCGAACTCACAGAGATCCGCCTGCCTCTGCCTCCCGAGTGAGTATAATGTTTTTTAAAGGAGATGAATTATGTAAGTTTGAAATAACCTTTAAATACAATTCTCAAATGTTCACACCCACAAATTGTGTATTCACAGTGGTTATTTGAATTATGGATATTAAGAATTTAAAAAGATCAGCCTGGTGGTGATGGTGTACACCTTTAATCCCAGCACTTGGGAGGCAGAGGCAGGTGGATCTCTGAGTTCGAGGCTAGCCTGGTCTACAGAGTGAATTCCAGGACAGCCTGGCCTACGCAGAAAAGAATTTAAAGAAAAAAATTGTGTTGATTGTATGGCCATGTTAGTTAGCATTCTGTTATATATAGAGCATTCCATTAGTTATAGCATACTATAACAAAATTCCTGAGGCAATTAACTTAAAAAAAAATAGGTTTGACTTGGATTTTTGGTTCTGGAGATTTAAGACCAAATGACACTGTTATTTTGTCCTCTAGCCAGGGCTAGAGGACACATCAGAGTGGAGCATATAGGAGAATAAACCACTTGTCTTATGATACAAAAGCAAAGAGGAGACTGGGGTCTCACCGTATACTTCAAGGCCATAGCCCCTGTGATCTGAAGAGCTCTCCTTAGCCACTGTGGTGGGAGCCAAGCTTTCAGGCATAGGGACCATCATGGGCAGTCAGTGTCCTAACAATAGCATTGACAGGATGCTTGGTTTGGATGGTATATGTGATTTGTCAACGAGTCATTAAATTCAAATGTACAGCACCCGCAGCAGATGGGAGACGTCAGTGGGGGAGACCACACGGGGAGACCTGTATGCCTTCGGAATTCTTTCATTTTGTTCATCTTCTTTCTTCTTAGGACCCTAGCTCCGGATCCCAGCCGCAAGTGCTCACATTTCCCAGCTCTCACCAGGGTCACAGAAGACAGAAACGAGACTGGGTCATCCCCCCCATCAGCTGCCCAGAAAATGAGAAGGGCCCGTTTCCTAAAAAGCTGGTTCAGGTAGGGAAGGGCTGAGAGAAGAGAAAATGGGAGGACCCGATGGCAAGACCTTTCCTTGCCAATTCTGTTTCTTTTCTGTTTTGTGTTCAGATCAAATCCAACAGGGACAAGGAAACCAAGGTTTACTACAGCATCACTGGCCAGGGAGCAGACAGACCCCCTGTTGGTGTGTTTACGATTGAGAGAGAATCAGGCTGGCTGAAAGTGACGGAGCCTCTGGATAGAGAACATATTGCCAACTACACTGTGAGTATTTCTTAGATACTTGTTGACCATTGGGCGACAGTCGTCAAGTTTGGGGAGCAACCCAAGTTTTATTCTCAGGTCGGATGCTCTGGACCTTAGTAGCTTAACTCATCCCTTAACATGTTGATAAAGTGAGGGCTAGACAGCAATTTGGGATGGTTAGTTGTTTGTTTTGTTTTCTTCTAGGGGAAAGGCAGGGACTCCTCACATCATACGTGAGCATAGACAGAAGTTGTCAAAGTGGGCCTGGAGAGATGGCTCAGTGGTTAAGGATATTTGTTGTTCTTGTAGAGAATCATGACTTCAGTTCCCAGCACTCACATCAGGTGGCTCCCAACCACCTGGAATTCCAACTCCGTGTGCTCTGACACCCTCTTCTGACCTCACTGGATAACTGCATGAAAGTGCATGTGAACACATAGAGACAGACAGACAGGCAGGCAGGCATGCAGGCAGAGACAGAGAGAGATATGAAAAGATGTCAACTAGTTCTTGGGGCTGGAGAATTTCTTACCTAGACGAAATGTATGCTGATGACATTAATAGGGAGCAAAATCCACTTCTGGGACTTGGTTACGGTGTGGGCTTTGGGAAGAGGAAGGTAATCTGTAGATGCCAAATGTAGAAACATTTCAGGGAGACACTAGAGTGGAAGAGCCAGAGGGAAATTATCCCCATTGAAGTGAGTCTCTGTGTGATAAATGGGCATTTCTGCCTGGTGGGTGTGTCCTCAGTCGCCTTGAGACTGGATTCATCATGAGTTCATTAAGCAGCAGCACATGGTGTGGAATTCTCACGTGGCGGTCTCACGGCGGAAGGAGCAGAGGCTAAATGCAGAAACCGTAGCCACACTCCCTCCCCAGCTCTCCTTCTGCTGCTCAGGGGCTAAGTAACCCTCCCGTGGCTCTTGCAGCTCTTTTCCCATGCTGTGTCATCAAATGGGCAAGCAGTGGAGGACCCCATGGAGATTGTGATCACAGTGACTGATCAGAACGACAACAAGCCAGAGTTCATCAAGGAGGTCTTTGAGGGAACTGTCACGGAGGGCGCTCTTCCAGGTAAACCAGTCACAAGAAACCGAGTGCCCAGAAAGACACCAGGTCTTTGGGATTAGAACTTGGGGTCAGGTCCCTGATGTTCAGACATGTTCTTTGAAAGCCACTGTGAGAGATGAGGTGGGATGTGGGGGTGCATATATAACATTCTACCTGTAGAAACGTGTAAGTAGAAGAAAAACCTTCCTAGGGCTTGGGGGTGCATACGTGTGACTCCAGTTCCAGGGGATGTGATGGCCTCTTCTGGCCTTTGAGGGCATCTTTATGTACACACACCACCACCACCACCACAACAACAACAACAACAACAACAATAATAATAATAATGTCTTTAGAAAATAAGATAAGAACTAGCAGGAGGAACGGAGAAGGACTTGGTAGGGATATTCTAGTTAATTTATTCCCAGCACTCTCTCTCTTTCTTTCTTTCTCACACCTAAATTACAGGCTTTGAAAGGTTGAGTTCCCTGAACATGGCTGGTCTGGTGTAGTGCTCCCTCCACTGGCAATTTGATGAGAATTTTAGAAATAAAAACGGCGACCAAGTGTGGTCATCTCCCAGGACAGGATCGTTCTGGGCAGTCAGGAGCAGATCTCAGTGGAGCACCTGCAGCCCGTTTAAATGTCTTCTCCTTTGACCGTCAGGAACCTCCGTGATGCAGGTGTCCGCCACCGATGCAGACGATGATGTGAATACCTACAATGCTGCCATCGCCTACACCATCGTCAGCCAAGATCCTGAGCTGCCTCACCCAAACATGTTCACTGTCAACAGGGACACAGGGGTCATCAGTGTGGTCACCTCCGGGCTGGACCGAGAGGTCAGTCATGGCTCTGGAGGGTGGCAGTGGGAGTTGAAATGTATACTAAGTCTCATGGACAGGGCAACCCTCTGCTGAGCCTGCGGCCGGTTAGTGTGAGCTGCTCAGCTTTGCATCTAAACACCTGCCCAGCCGCTCTGTGACTGGAGGCAGGCAGCCTAGGCAGCGAGGCAGATGGTGAAAGAGTCCAGTTTCCTACATGCAGGGGGCTGCACCGGGCTGGGGGCGGCTGTGGGAGCGGGTTCTGATTCCACACGTTTGCTGTCCGCAGAGTTACCCTGTGTACACCCTGGTGGTTCAAGCTGCTGACCTGCAGGGCGAAGGCTTGAGCACAACAGCAAAAGCCGTGATCACCGTCGTCGATATTAACGACAACGCTCCTATCTTCAACCCCAGCACGGTAATTCTGCGGCCTCTCGGTCCTGTGGGGGGCAACTCAGTGTTCACGAGCTAAGTTTTGCCTCTGTGCAGGGGTGAATCCCCAGGTTAGTGAATGGGAACTTCAAATGTAGAAGCCAACATACTGGAGTAGCTGCCGTCTGTGAAATCTTCCAAACTCATCTCCCAATTCTGCATCTTTATAGTTAGTCTTCCTGGGTCTCACTTATCCATCCCATTTTCTAAGTTCCTATTCCACCCTGTGTCACACACTGGAGACGTGGCAACACACAGAGCGGTCAGGTTTTCTAGTCTCGTGGGACTTACAGATGATTTATAGGAGTTATTATTTTGGGGGATGAATGATTTGAGCCAGATCTTATTGTGTGACCCAGCCTGGCCTCCAACTTAACAATGCGCCTCCTAAATGCTGGGTTACAGCTTCATAAGAATTATTAAAAGCCTTAAAAAAATTATTAAAAGCCAAGAATATCAAATGCATTCAAGGAGAAGGTTTTAAGAGCTAGATATAGAAACTTCATACACACACACACACACACACACACACACACACACACACACACACACACACTTTCAATTAAATTAAAATTTTTGGGACATGGCCTTTTATAGCCTAGGTTGTCAGCCAGGTATGTAGTGCCATGCTCAGCTTTTTAGTTTTGAGGGAAGATCATATTTTACTGAATTAGTTAGAAGTTGATTTAATGGTTGGTTAACAGAGGCCTGAATAGTGTAGTTTCAGAAAGCAGGGTTGACCTTTTCTCTCTTGTGGCACAAAAGGTCCAGGGAATAATTGCTCTTTCATCATTTATCTTTTGTTTTTTGTTTTATTTTTGTTTTTGAGAGAGGGTTTCTCTGCAGAACAATTCTGGCTGTCCTGGAACTTTCTTTGTAGATCAGGCTGGCCTTGAACTCACAGAGATCCTCCTGCCTCTCTGCCTCCTGGGTGCTGGGATTAAAGTCGTGCACCACCACTGCCTGGCTTCTCTGTGGTGGTCACGAATAGAGATTGGAGAGTAGATGGGGGTTGTCGGCAAATGGCACACGTGTCTTAAGATCCCAGTTAGCAGACAGTGAGGCCAGCAGATGGTTCTTGTAGCAGCCAGGGCCTTCGGAAGCTACTTCAGGTATTTATAGAAGAGGGTGCTTGGGCTGCTAGTTGATCTACTGAGGGAAATGAAGGCCTACGCTTAGGACAGATCCCTCTGTCCTTGGGGACTCATGAGCTTCTCCTGACCTCACTCGTCTCATTCCTTTAGCCCAAGTCCTGGCTCCATGATTACTGTCACCTTGTCACTAATGACTCGATTTTCCCTTTGCTCTGTAGTACGTGGGTCAAGTGTCTGAGAATGAGGCCAATGCCGTTATCACCACCCTCAAAGTAACTGACAACGATGCCCCTCATACCCCAGCGTGGGAGGCCGTGTACACCATAATCAATGATCCTGAACAACAGTTTGTTGTCATCACGGACCCCACAACCAATGATGGCATTCTGAAAACAGCCAAGGTTTGTATGGTGCTTGGTGACTGATGTGCTAGCATCCGGGCCTCTCTTGTCTTATAATGTCTTCTCAGTGTGTCAGCTCCGGCAGGGGAAGGGTAGAGTGTGAGGATGGTCCTGACCTTCTGAGGCTTGTAGAAACTCTCTTGGCCGTTTTGCTGGCTTGTTAGAAGTGAAGTAAGTGTGGCTCTTTAGAAGACTGTCTGTCCTAAAGCCTGAAGCTAGGCAGTGATTCTCAACCTGTGGGTCGAGACCTTTTGAGGGCTGAATGACCCTTTCACAGGGGTCGCCTAAGATCAACAGTAGCAAAATTAGAGTTATGAAGTAGCAATGAAGTAATTTTATGGTTGGGGGTCACCCCAACATGAGGAACTGTATTAAAGGGTCGCAGCACTGGGAAGGTGAGACCCACTGGGGGAGGAGGACAACGGCTCAGTGGGTAAGAGCACTTGTACTGTAGTGAACTTAGGTTTGGTACCCAGCACTTACAACCGCCTGTAAATCTTTGGAAAATGTCCCAAAGAATGTCTAAAGTAAACAAACGTGGATGTGACTTACTGATGAATTTAGAAAAGTTAATAGATGCCTAGAGTGCTTACAGCTTTTTTTTTTTTTTAAAGATTTATTTATTTATTATGTATACAGCATGTATGAGTGCAGGCCAGAAGAGGGTGCCAGATCTCATTACAGATGGTTGTGAGCCACCATGTGGTCCTGGGAATTGAACTCAGGTCCTCTGGAAGAGCAGTCAGTGCTCTTAACCTCTGAGCCGTCTCTCCAGCCTGTGTTTACAGCTTTAATGCCCTCTTCAGAAAGTGAGCAACGGCGTTTGAGAACTACTGTCAATCAAAAGTGGTAGTTGAAATTAAACTCTTTTTGGTTTTTGGAGACAGGGCTTCACTGTATAACCCTGGCTGTTCTAGAACTTGCTCTGTAGACCAGGCTGGCCTCGGACTCACAGATCCGCCTGCCTCTGCTGGGATTAAAAGCATAAACTACCACTACCCAGCACCCCCCCCAATTTTTTTTTCTTAATCATTTTTTAAAAAAGCTTATTTATGTGTTCTATGGCAATTGTGGTTGAACACACTGGGCAGGCGCTTCACCACTGAGCCATACAGCCAACCCCTGGTGGTTTAGTTTTAACTTCTTCTCTTCCCCCATCTTGTTCTCTAGGGCTTGGATTTTGAGGCCAAGCAGCAGTACATTCTACATGTGACAGTGGCCAATGTGGCCCCCTTTGAGGGGACTCTTGTCCCTTCCACGGCCACCGTCACTGTGGATGTGCTAGATCTGAATGAAGCCCCCATCTTCGTGCCTGCCGAGAAGAGAGTGGAGGTGCCTGAAGACTTCGGTGTGGGTCAGGAAATCACATCCTATACTGCCCGGGAGCCAGACATATTCATGGAACAGAAGATTACGTAAGTGGGACCAATGACTAGTATTGAGTGGGCATTGGTATAGATTTACACTTGTTTTGTTTTTCAAGGCAGGGTTTCACTGTGTAGCCCTGGCTGTCCTGGAACTCACTCTGTAGACCAGGCTGGCCTTGAACTCAGAGATCTGCTTACCTCTGATTCTGAGTGCTGGGGTTAAAGGCGTGTGCTACCACTGCCTAGCTATTTTGTTGTTGTTTACACATATAACTTAAATAAGTACAAATGTAGTCATTTGTCATGTAGTAATACATTCTGAGAAATATGTCCCTGATGAGTTTGACCATTGTGGGAACATTGTGTAGTTTTTGAAACAAATTAAGATGGCTGCAGTTTCACTGAAGAATCACCTCTGTACAGCCAATGGTGTCAGTCCTTTCCTTCCGCCTCCGGGAAGGAAGGTCAAATTGGCAGGCTTGTACCTTTACCCATTTAACACCCCACCCTCAGCCCCCACCAAAGGACCGCAGTTCAGTTCTCAGCACCCACACAGGGGCTGACAACCGTCTGTATGTAACTGTAGTTGCTGGGAACTGCTATCTCTTTTGACCTCTTACACTATGTGGTACCTGTACACACACTAGGGCACACTCACACACACACAAAGTGTGTGTGTGTGTGTGTGTGTGTGTGTGTGTGTGTGTGTGTGTGTGTAACTGTGTAACAAGTGAAGAGAACCCGTGACCTCGGTTCCATCCTGTTTGCTGCCCCCTCTCTAAGCCAGAGCTTGTGCCCTCAGGTATCGGATTTGGAGGGACACGGCCAACTGGCTGGAGATTAACCCAGAGACGGGTGCCATTTCCACTCGGGCCGAGATGGACAGAGAAAACTCGGAGCACGTGAAGAACAGCACCTATACGGCCCTCATCATCGCCACAGATGACGGTACGGACACCGTGTGGCCCGATCCGATCCCTGGGCTCCATCACTCTCCAGCCTGCTTGCCTCCTTTGCCTCTGCCTTTCTTTTGGAGTCCCGATTTCATTCCTTTTCTTTTATCCATCAAAGAATACTTGGTAACAAAATTCCAAAGTTTAGGTCAAGTAGCGTTTCCTTTTCTCTTGTCCCTCTGCACTCAAAACTCACTCCTTCCTGCTGGAACCTGGGTTTGTATCCCAGATTCATGGCTGTGAACATATTATTACTTAATTTTTGTTGCTGTTGTTTGAGACAGGGTCTCCTTGTGCAGCTCTTGGAAACTCACTCTTTAGGCCAGGCTGGCCTCGAACTCAGAGATTCACCTGCCTCTGCCTCCTGAGTGCTGGGGTAAAAGGCGTGGGCCACCGCTGCTTTGCTTTACCACAGCCACCAACATTACTTAATTCTTAAAACCTTATTTTATTTTATTTTTGAGACGTGGTTTTACTGTAACCCTGACTAGTTTTGAATTCACTGTGAACTCACATGTGGCCCAGAAGGCCTCAAATTTGAGGTGACCCTCCCTTACCTCATCCTGTGAAGTTCTAAGATTCCAAGCAAGCACCAGGTATGACAGCTACCTCTCTACCCCTGTTCCATCTTGGAGGGCAGGTGAGAGAGGAAGTTGAGACCACCTAACTTCAGGTTGTAGACATCACTACCACTCACATCCCATTGGCTCAAATGCAGCCATCCCAAATTGCTGGGCAACCTCGAAGCTCCTGCTCTTAACTGGGTGACTATGAGCCCAGTGAATGCTTGGGAGACAGTGGAGATGGTGGGTAGGATGAGCAATGAGTATCCATGGCTGAAAAGATGGAGAATGGAGATACTGGAAGGAAGCTGGCATTTCTGTCCATAGTCCTTGATCCGATTTTACCTGTAGAGTGTCCTGGACTTGGTGCTTGCACCCCTTTAATTCTTCACTCAGGAGGCAGAGTTGGGCAAATCTTTTGAGTTCCAGGCCAGCCTGGTCTACAGAGTGAGTTTCAGGGCAGTCAGAGCTGTAACACAGAGAAACTCTGTCTCAAAAACAAACAAACAAAAACAAGATTCTAAGCAAGTACTATGACACTTAGCTTTTTAAAAAGATATGCTGGAGTCAGGCTTCTGTAGGAGGCTGAGGCAGGGGGATTGTAATTCCAAAGGCTACACAGTAAGGCCTTGTCTCGAAAACAAACAACAGCAAAAACAGTCAACCCCCAAACTTAAATGGATTAATAATGTTATATCAGGAAGAAGAGAGCTGCCTTTGATATGAGGAACAACCCAGTCGTTGCACACAAAATCCGATGAGCTTGCGGTGGACAAGTGGTGGGACAGAGGCCGTGTGGGTAGTGTGGAACCTGCTGAGGGGTTGCAGACACGCTAAGACAGAATTTGGCCTGCTGGAAGGTGATAATATCCCTGAGCTGTGACGGCTTTTCTGTTTTCTCTTAGGTTCGCCAATTGCCACCGGCACGGGGACTCTTCTGTTAGTCCTATCGGACGTCAATGACAATGCTCCCATCCCAGAACCTCGAAACATGCAGTTCTGCCAGAGGAACCCACAGCCCCATGTCATCAACATCATCGATCCAGACCTTCCCCCTAACACATCCCCCTTCACCGCTGAACTAACCCACGGGGCCAGCGTCAACTGGACCATCGAGTACAACGACCCAGGTGTGAAGTCCAGCTCCATTTCCAGAGCCTCTCTGCCTGCCTGGCTTCTGCCTTCCCACTTCAGGATCTCCCTCCTAGCTCCAGATGCACCCGCCTCTCTCTCCCTTCCCCTCGATATCTACGCCAGGTCCTTCTGCAGTCCCTGTATTCTCCTTTTTCTCTGAGATGCTGCTCAGTACTGAGAACCCCAAACCCTTCCCTTACCCAGCACTGCGTGCCTTTGGCTCCCTGCACATTTGGGTTCGCTGAGCTTTGTGTTCTGTCCCTCCCCTGCTCTCATCGTTTCTTTGTGTTCCTCTCCCCAGCCCAAGAGTCTCTCATTTTGAAGCCAAAAAAGGCCTTAGAATTGGGAGACTACAAAATCAATCTCAAGCTCATGGATAACCAGAACAAAGACCAGGTGACCACGCTGGACATCGTTGTGTGTGACTGTGAAGGGACTGTCAACAACTGCATGAGGGCGGGTTACGTGGAAGCAGGATTGCAAGTTCCTGCCATCCTAGGGATTCTTGGAGGGATCCTGGCTTTGTTGAGTAAGTGCAGCCGGCAGGTGCCTCAGCCTGCTGATACCCCGAGGGTTTCTGTGACCAGTGCTTTTTATTCTTGTTGTTTTTCCTGAAGCTATACTTAACCTCTTTCCCCCCCACCCAGTAGATAATAGTTTATTAGACTTGGCTAAAGTTGGGAAGACTCTCCTATTAGTCATTTAAAGCAGAAGTTCTGCTAGGAGCCAGATGGCCAACCTGTTTCTTGTTTGTGTGTGTTGTGTTTTGAGAGGGGGTCTCATCTGTAGTCCAGGCTGGCCTGGAACTTACTATGTAGCCCAGGCTGGGCTTGAGGAAGCCCTCCTTCAAGCATCTACCCATCTGCCACTTTCCTGGAGTTGCAAGGCTGTGGTGCCCGTGACAGTTGGTTTCTCTGGTCTCCCTTGCCTGGTTCTCCTTCCTCTTCCCCCCCCCCCCTCCTCTGTCTCCAGTTCTGATCCTGCTGCTCTTACTGTTTTTACGGAGGAGAACCGTGGTCAAAGAGCCCCTGCTGCCCCCAGACGACGACACCCGGGACAATGTGTATTACTATGATGAAGAAGGAGGTGGAGAAGAGGACCAGGTGGGTTTTAAAGATGCAAAAAACTTTTCAGTCTGATTGGAGGTGCCAGACACTGCTGTTTCAGTGAATCGTCCTCACAGTACTGCACTGGAGCACAGAACCCTATGATCTCAGTGGTGCACAAAAAGTCAGGTGTCTTCCCAGACACCCTTGTGTTCTCTGGAGCATTGGTTGATTACACTGAAGCTCACAACATCTGTGAATCTGAGGACTCAGCTAATCTAGGCAGAGTTTGCCTGAAAGGCCCTAAGCTGCACCCTGTGTCCAGGTCTCCTGCACGGAAACCGAATCTGGGGTCCAGTAGGCCAGCATCACGTGCTGTCTTGATACCTGAAGCCCCTCACATGACAGAGCCCATTTTTAACAGGCAGGGTACTACCTGAATTAGCTGTAGTGGGGGAGGACTGAGTAAAATCTGCCAAGTAATAACTCAATAGTCATGTCCTGTGAAATGAATAAGACACAGCAGTTTGCATTTGTGGAATCCCCACGTCCTCTCTTTTCTGTCATTGTGAGTTAGGAGACTCTTAATTTGGAAAGTGCCATTTCATATGCTTTGGGGCACGTGTTGGTAAATCCACACAGGGAGGGGGTAGTCTGGCTTTGTCCTGTGACACAGTCTGATTCCATGAAGTAAACAAGCCCTGCCTGTGCGCCTGCTTCCTTTTCACTGGTTGGCATATTTCTGCCCTTCTCCCTAGGACTTCGATTTGAGCCAGTTGCACAGGGGCCTGGATGCCCGACCTGAAGTGACTCGGAATGATGTGGCTCCCACCCTCCTGAGGCCCCAGTACCGTCCCCGCCCAGCCAATCCGGATGAAATCGGGAACTTCATCGACGAAGTAAGTAGGCAAAGCTGTGCGCCAAGGCACAGTGCATCTGTTAACTCAGGATCCCAGGAGAAAAACATTCCAACGAGGAGAACCTTTGAGTTCTTGCCTTTCAGTGTCTGCTTGTCCAGATCCTTGAGACAACCAAGATCTACTTGCAAAGCTTTAGTAGACCTAGAAGGAGTTACCAAGTAGACTTAGTTTGGCTTCATAAATGGCTTCTCTGCATTCATTACAACTGTTTGGGATAGTGTCTTGGGGAGCCTGGGACAATAGCTCAACAGGTCGGTATAGCATCTTCTGAGCAAGCCTGAGGACCAGAATTTGGATCCAAGGCACCAACATAAATGCTGAGTGGGCATGGTGGCCTCCTTTTATTCTGGGGTCCAGATTAGATCATCCCAAACCAGCAAGCTGTAGGTTCAGTTGAGAAACCTTGTCTCAGGGAATACAGTGAAGAACAGTTGAAGATGACTCCTGATGATGATGATGTCCTGATGAAGAACTTGGGCCTTAACATGCACATGTGCTCACACATGTAAACACAAATACATGACATGTATACTATGCACAAAATGTATCCCAGTTTACCTAAGGCCCATGAAAACCGCATCTATCATGTAACATACCCATACATTATGTGCGTGTCAGAAATATGTTCCTCTCTGAGCAAAAAGCTTAAGCAGACAGTAGGAGGTGCACTTTGTGCACGGGGCAGGCTGGGCCCAGCAGACTAGTCTGCTGTGTATATAACACATAACTCTTCTACCTTCCTGCTCCATTATCTTAGGTACTTTTCTGTGGCTGTGCTGAGACACCATGACCAAGGCAACTTATTGAAGAAAGAGTCTAATGTGGGGCTCCAGAGGGTTGGACTCCATAATTAATCATGGCAGGGAGCGTGGCAGCAGGCATGCATGCATGCATGGCTGGAGCAGTAGCTGAGGGCTCACATTTTGATCCACAAGCAGGAGACAGAGACAGAGACAGAAAGAGAGAGAGAGAGAGATGAAAGAGCTAATGGGAAGTGGCTGGTCTTTTAAAACCCCAAAGCCTGTTCTCAGTGACACACCGCCTCTGACAAGGCCACACCTCCTAATCCTTCCAAATAGTTCTAACTGCGAGGGGAGGGGGGGGCAACCCAGTTATTCAAAGCCTATGTAACCCTGGCTGGCTTTGTACTCCCTATGTAGACCAGCCTGGCCTTAAACTACGTAGCAGAGCATCTTAGTGCTTCTATTGCTGTAAAGAGACACTTTTTCTTCCTTTCCCTGAGACAAGGTTTCTCTGTGTAGCCCTGGCTGACCTGGAACTCACTCAGGCTGGCCTAGCACTCATAGAGATCCGCCTGCCTCTGCCTCCTGAGTGCTGAGATTAAAGGCATGAATCACCATTCCCACTCCAAGACAACTCTTAAAGGGAAAACATAAATAGGGTAGGTTATAGTTCAGAGCTTTAGTACATTATCTTCATGGCGGGTGGCATGCGGGCAGACATGGTGCTGGAGAAGGAGCTGAGAATTCTACATCTGATGTGCAGAAGGTAGCAAAAGGAGTCTGTGTCCCACATTGGGCATAGCTGGAGCCTAAGAGACCTTAAAGCCCGCCCTCTACAGTGACGCACTTCCTCCAACAAGGCTACACCTGCTAATAGTGCCGATCCCTGGGGGCCTATGGGGGCCATTTTCATCCAAACCACCTCGCAGAGGATGACTGTAAATTACTGATCCTTCACCTTTCAGAGTTAACATTTAACAAAGATAGCTTGGCATCCATCTTCTGAGGACCTTCAGGTTGAACTGCTATCTATGTAAACAGTCTGACCACTCTCATTGGTTTTAGCATCTGTCCATCCTGATTGGAGGTATGGGATCCTTCCTCCGGTTTCTGGGGACCCCATCCTGGCAGGCAGCTGCCCATCTCTCCCTGCTAACACATAACTTACCAACCTGAGTTAGCGGAAAAGCATCCTGTGTCTTGTCCATCTGTGTTGATGTGTATGCCTGCCCCTTGAGGGGGGGTTCTACTCCCTGTTGCCGTTTCATGTTTTGGGCGTTGCTTACCTCAGATGCAGAGTAACAGATTTGTTGCTCTTCCCTTTAGAATCTGAAGGCTGCCGACAGCGACCCCACAGCGCCCCCCTACGACTCTCTGTTGGTGTTTGACTATGAGGGGAGTGGTTCCGAGGCGGCTAGCCTGAGCTCACTTAACTCCTCCGAGTCGGATCAGGACCAGGACTACGACTATCTGAACGAGTGGGGCAACCGTTTCAAGAAGTTGGCTGACATGTACGGTGGCGGCGAGGACGACTAGAGCGCAGAGAGGAGCCCCCAGGGGGAGCCGCGGGAGATGCGGAATGATGTTGCCAGTGGCCTTTCAGCTCCTTCCCTGAGAGACTGATCCGAGATGCAGTTAGTGTAGTGGTCACACGCTACCGATGCACTGGATGTTAGGGAGGTTTTCATTTGTTCTTGAAATCGGTTTTTCATTTTGATAGTGCTGGGATTTGATTGAACTCCACCACTGAGTTACAGGCCCACCCTCTCCCTTTTTTTTTTTTAACCACACACACCCCCCCCCGCCCCGCCCCCTCCCCCTCCCCCACCCCGTGCGTGTGCCCCTTCCATGGATGGGGATGAATCTGTGACTTTACAGTGTGAGGCAAAGCACTCCCGTCACTGAGCGATTGCCCCAGCTCAAATTTCTTATTTCAAAATGATAGTTTGAGCCTCAGAAGGGTCAGCCAGCGCTGGCAGGTTTCCCTTTAAGAGGCAGGGGAGGGAGTCTGCCCTATTTCTGTTTCATTGTGTATAGAAAATGGTTTGGTTTTGTTTTTGAGCTAGGAATCTAGGCTAGTGTCCTGCCCCAGAATTACAACCCCAAGCCCTTCACCCCACACTAAAAATTTTAAATTGTATGCTTCCCCACAAGTACCACATCTGTGTTCTGTATTCTAATACCCACTTATGCTCCTGAATTCTGTTGCCCTGCCCACATGCAGACATGACTGGGTCCTTGTATAGTGACAGCCAGGTAACTTGGTATGGGTGTGACTGAACTTGACATTGTGTGTTTCAAAGACCTGCATGGTTTTCCTTCCTCCCCTCCAGAGTACTTACTTGAAATGGGCATTCTTTGTTCGGGGTCCCTGTTTCTTCGGTGAAAGCCCTAGTAGGACATGTCGCTTTGGTCCTCTGTGGGGAGCTTTGACCGGAACACATAGGAGGGTTTTCAGGCACCACTTGGTTCTTATGTTTCCTTCACGCCAACATAAAAGAGTGATGGACTCAGAGAGTCAGACCAGTGCCCAGAGTGCTGCAGCCCAAGACGGAGGAGAGGGAATGGGAGAGCCTGGCCTGGGGGCAACTGTGTCACTGAGCCTGGCCAGCTAGCACACTGGTGGTGAGCATGCAAGGTGGCTTGGCCTCTTTCTCAGGAAACTTCTGGAAGAATAGAGGGATCTCACCATGTGTTTCCTCACTGGAATCCTTGTCCATGCATTCCCGAAGCCCAGGAGACATGCCCTTCCAATGCCTGCTTTTGATGGTAGCTACAGAAAATGCTGACTGATTGGACCAAGGTTGCCCAATTCTAAGTATGCATAGAAAACTGAGGTTATTAGAAATTGTGCATTTTCTCATAGAAGCAGAAAGAAAACTGTTCTAATGGGAGAAAGTGGGTGAGGGCCTTGATTTGACTCTTTTCTTTTAAGTCAAAATGCAAATCTCAGCTTTGTGATAACCACTGGCAAGAATTTCATTGAAAGTGCTTTACTCTCAGCTATTTTTGGAAGAAAACAATGACTTCAATCAACTGTGAGAACTGTTGATTTCTCTGTAGTTTAAATGTCTGGTGTAGTCGGTGTAGAGTGTCACTTGTATGTAGTTTGAGTGTATATGTGTGTGGGTGCTGATAATTTTGTATTTTGTGGGGAGTGGAAAGGTAAATAGTTGAAACTGTTCTAAGATACATTTTTATAAATTTTATTAAAGAGTTTTGTTAAACGGTTGTGACGCTCCATTGATTTGACTCTACTAGAATTCCAAGTGAGACAAAA